CACTGTCTGTAGGGAGGGTATAGGGTGGGAGTAGGACTTAGGGGAAAGGGGTGGGGAGGGGGGTGGGGGACAGATGTTCCATGATTCTAAGTCTTCTATGCATTCTCCAAGAAGACCCGGGCAGCTTCTTAATGCACAACAGATATGCTATCTTTGCAGCTAACTCCCTTCTGTTACTGTCTAGACAAGAATTCTGCTCCTCTCTTACAATTACTTCTGGTCATGTGCTCAGATGAATGCTCGTATGGGTACAACCATCACCAAGGTCACGGTGGGGGGCACAAAGGAAATAAACAATGAATCGTCACTTTTGTACTTCCTGTACAGAATTGACATAAAAAGAATGCTATACTGATCATCCTGGTTACACTTCAGCTCTTCATCAAGGAGAATTCGTCTTTAGATTTGTATTTATTTGTTCAGATTACTAATTGAATCAAACCAAAGGGGTTTCTGGTCTGTTAGCCACAGAAGGTAACTCAGTATAAACCAGGGCATTTGGATAGAGACACTGAGTGACAGCTGGCCAAGGACTCCCAGGGTGTTCTTACTTACTACATACTAGAAGTTTTGTTAAAGGACAGTCTACTAAGAAAGCTCTTAAAACTCCAGGAAATTTGTACATGTAAAAAAAGTGTCCTCTTTCCCACAGCCCCACTTCCACACGCTCACATACTAACACTTTGCTCATTTGGTTTGTCAGTGCTTATCTTTCCCCTCCTCTGTAAAATTGAGGTCTTTCAGATTAAGGTGCATACAGCACACAGCCCCTCACCCCTTTACAGTAAATGTTTATTCCTTGCTCAGACAGGACTTAAGTCAAGGTCATAGTGTCTGGAGGCTCTAACCTCACGCCTGCCCAGAACCTTTGGGAACCTCTCTTCCACAGAGAACTTTGCAGTCTAGGATCAGATGCTGCACATCAATTTAGGCTTGGCTTGATCTTCTCGTGGCATGGGTATTTTTTTTGTGAGTATAGGCCCTCACATCCTGGGTTTTTGTTTGGTTTTAGCAGAAAATACCTCATTTGACTTTGCATTCTTGGCCAGAATTACTTGTTATCCCTCTGCCTTTCCGAGACAGTGGCAGATCTCATTATCCCCTGTCCAATGTGTCTGGTTTCCCTGCTGTGCATTTGCCCGTTCAGTAATAACTAAGGTATGCAGAACACGTTCCAATCTATGCAGTATCCTCTCAACATTTCCCTTAGATTTCCAACCACTGATGTTTCTTGCCTGTACTGATCTTTTACTGTGACAGCTGTAAAATGGCTTTCTAGTTCCAGCATGCCCTTCCTTTACCAGCTGGATTTAATAATCTGGAAACAAACAAGCCCTTCCTTCCTTTGTCCTTTATTCATGTGGTTTTCATGTTGGTCCTGTGGAGTTCTGCTGTCTTAGTCTTGTACTCAGGTGGTCTCTTCTTTGGTTAAGTTGAACACCTTCAAGCTGGCGCCTGCCTCCTTTTCATGACATCCTTAGGTTTGATCCTTCCTGTCTAGCCTAACATGAAGCTCCAGGCTAGTCTTGCACTGACCCTGCTCCAAACTTGGAATCTCCAAGCAGCCCTTTAACTGGAGCACAGAAAACAAAGATCACAGAAGATATATATGACAATATGTGATACTGATTTTTTTTTTTTTTTGAGACAGGGTTTCCTTGTGTAGTTCTTGGTGTCCTGGACTGGCTGGCCTCAAACCCACAGAGATCTGCCTGCCTCTGCCTCCCAAGCGTTGGGATTAAAGTTGTGTCCCATCACGCTGAGCTTTGTTTGAGATTTTCTTTGTTAATTTATTTTGATCACAGGCCAAATGCATTTCTCTACTTAATTTGTAGTATCCTGCTTGAGGGCAACTGATAATGGTGTCAGTGGACGCTGGGGTCACACAGGACTTCGTCCCTCTACAGCAAAAGCAGTTTACTCACAACACCCTGGGTTCAGATGCAGGCCTGTGGGATAGTGGTAGGCAGATGCCACCCCTCTCCTATGGTTAGAGCTGAGCTGGCCCCTGGAGAACATGTGTCCATCCTGTGGGTGAGGGTTACACTGTATACCCACTCTCCAAGGTGTTGATGAAAGTCACAGACCCAGGACCTCAGAAGTGCCCTTGCACCCAGCACAGAACAGAGCTCCAGAACCATCCGCAGACCTACAACAGGAAGCACCTGACTGAGAGGCACAGTTGGTGTTAATATTGAGCTTAGTCTGAATATACCTCAAAAGGTGGGCACTTCTGCAGCAGCTGCCCAGTCCTCCTGCCAAGCTAACTGTACCTTGCTTTGGACATGGATCTTTCAGAACATGCAAGGTTTTTAATCTTCCCATAAAGGAACAGACTCTGGAGCCATACAGACAGGTTCATTCTTAACTCATAAAATATCCTTTATGTATAGTAAAATCATCCTGGGAAATTGGGCTGAAGTCAACAAGGATACTCACTTCTCTTTTTAGCTTTGGTTTTATATGTGCACTGAAATTTATAAAGTAAAAGCTTAAGCATCTCATTCCTAATTAGAGAAGGTTTTCTAGATTTAAACCTGAAAGATAAATAACAGAACTTCTACACTGAACAACAGAATTACATCCTGGTAATTTATTGTTTTTAAAAATTGTTGTATGCTTACCAAGCTTATTTGTAAGCATATATTGACTAATGTATTTCCTGGTGTTTAAGGTGGGTGCTCATGTAGCCCAGGCTGGCCTCGAACTCAGACTAGTCAAAGAAGACCTTCAATTCCTGATGCTCCTGCCTCCAGGGATTATAGGAATGTGCTACTATACTTGGTACTCTCTTTTTTTTTTTTTCATTTTTAATAACTCTTTCTCAATACCTCCTGGTCTCAAGGTGGTAGAATGCTGGGAGTGTCTAAGTTTCTGTTTCTGTCTTCTTCATCTACACCTGGTCCTGCTGGTGGGGCCCAAATTCCAATTAGATTTCTCTATGGCCATCTGTAAGATAATTATGCATTTAATGTATTTCTGTTTTTTAAATTTATCTATATGAGTACACTGTTTCTCTCTTCAAATACACCAGAAGGCATCAGATCCCATTACAGATGCCCTCCCACCATGTGGTTGCAAGGAATTGAACTCAGGACCTCTGAAAAGAACTCTTACCTGCTGAGTCATCTCTCCGGGCCCCCAAATTTAATGTATCTCTAACTGCTCAGCATTGAGTCTAGAATTAACTATGACAGTGGCTTTTATTTTTACTAATGCTAAAATTAATAGTAATGGGATTTTTAAGTCTTATTCATAGGACTAAGGAATAGAAGACTGCTGATGTCCATCTTAGAGGCAGAGAAGGAAAGATCTAGAACTAGAGCAGGTACATATGCCTCCTGTCTGCCAGCTCCAGCCCAGCTGGTTTGTTTTATACCCACAACAGCTGACCTCACTTAGTGTAAAGATCTTTTAGGGAATGCCACAAACACCCATGGAGGAAAAGCCTAAATGACTAGGAAAGGGACCATACAGGTTTAGAGTGGTGCTACATAAAGGGAAAAGTCACAAATCTTTACCTTCCATGAGCAAAATTTCCTGATTCTAAAGTAAACTCTATATTGTTTAGTTCAGTAATTCAAAAGGACATGCAGTGCAATATTTAAAAAAGAATTTCTGTTGTGGCTGGTTCTGTTCTGTGAATAATGTTTGGTGACTGTGGTTGATCAAATCTTACAAAATGAGGCTTTATGCAGTCCCCTCCCCCTAGCCATGCATTCCTTGGCTACAACAAAGACCTTTTAAGAACTTCAGTCTCCATGTCCAGTGGGTGGCTTTGTGGCCTCCCTCAGCCGTGAGGTTGTTTTTCAGTAAGCAGAACAATAAAGTGGACTGAAAGGGATGGAGTTGCAAAGGGAAATCCTGAAGTCAAAGAAAACTAGAACCTTTCCAGCAGAGGGGCAAATGAGAAATGCTAGGTATAAGTGGGATCTTAGAGAGTAACCCAGGGATTCTTCAGTTAAGCTCTGAGTCAGATCAAACTGTAAGAAAAATACAGTGTGACCAAAAACTCTAAAAGTCCTTCCTTTCTGCTCTAGGTCCCTTAATGAAGACAGAGTCCTTTCATTCCAAATTACTGCTGGACACATGTGACTATAATTGTTAAATCTCTTACATATGAAAGAGTGAGAGCTCACATCCACTAAGATTGGCCAGAGAGTTCTGGGACATGACTTGTATGCAGTTCTGCCTTGTTAACCACTAACAGTTAAGTACGAGGAAGCCTGGTCCAGCCCTGCTGTCTCCTACAGTCACAGTCACGCATCCCTGGGCTGCTTATGCAACAGTGTAGTGACAGCTACAGCAGCTTAATGTATTTACTTCACATAGAGCCTTCACAGATCATCCTGAGGAAGCCAGGCATGGCAGCACGTGCTCCTGCCTGACATCCCAGCACTAGGAAGGCCGCTGAAGCAGGTGGACTGCTGTGAGCTAAAACCAGCTTAGGATACAGAGGAAGACCCTGCCTCATACAGCCAAAAAAAAAAAAAAAAAAAAAAATAGAGAATAAATCTAGAGGAATACTTTGTTGAGGTTAATGCTTTAAAATGGGAAAGAGTTGGGATGCTGATTTTTTTAAAAATCTAAAATAATACATTTGTGAATATTAACTTGCAACTATCTGTCTCTTCATTTCTATCCATTGGACAGGCAGGGTTTAGCCAGGTGATCAGTGCAATGACAAGCCTTCTCAAAAGAATGCACAGGTGCAGTGGATACACAGTATTACTGCTTCAGCTTTTAAAGTGACAGGGAAGCTGGGTGTGGTTGCACATGCCTTTAATCCCAGCACTCAGGAGACAGAGGTAGGTGGATCTCTGAATTTGAAGCCAGCCCGGACAGCCAGGGCAGTTACATAGAGAAACCCTGTCTCAAAAATTTAAGTGACAGAACAGGGCATTAGAGGACTTTGACAGTTAATCAACACTGTTCAGAGTATAAAGTCCCTACAGTGAATTAGACCTAGTTTTAAAATAAAAATGGCTACATAAAACTGATAGTTTTTCTTTCTTTCTTTTTTTTTTTCCTTTTTTTCTCCCCAATTAACAGTCTTTCATCTTAGATACATGGACCAAACCAAAGAGAACCTTCCCCTTACTTCCCACCAATAGTACCAAAGTAACTTCCTGTTCCCAAGTCCTCTGGGAAGCAGAAAGGCTAGTGCAGCAGCTGTCAGGAACAAAGGCACAGGCAGAGGGGAAAACAGCTGAGTGGGACAGTCTGCCACTGGCTAGCTGGAGTCACGGAATCCTGTCCCTCCCCTAAGCAGGGAATGTCCCGATCACCCTCGAGTTCTCCCATCCCTTACAGTTACATCTTTGAAAGGCACATCCAGAAATGGTGCAAATGGGGGCTGGGTTAAGCTGTACATAATTACTATGCAGAGGTTACTGGGCAACAGGACTCTATGGCACAGAGCAATGGGGTATCCTTGTCTTCACCCACATTCTGGGGAGGTGGGAGGCTGTACGAGAAGCTCCTACGATGTGGCCTGCTTCCATGAAGGCCCAGGAGAGGCAGCACAAGGAGAGCCCAGGCACGGTTAGTTCAAAGGTCTTTGGTGCACGTGTAGCAGCATCTCTCATGTACAAAGGCTCTTGCAGCCTGCACAGCTGGGTCAGTGAGCTGGTACCAAGGATGTCTACCTCACAAGGCAAAAGCACAAAGGAAACCAGATTTTAAAAAATATTCTGACAACGGTTAACCTTGAAAAGCTTCCTTCCTGCCCCGAGTCTACTGAGGAACTTCAGAAACAACCCACAAGCATTTCCCAGCACTTTTTCATTTAGTCACCTTCAGACACGAGAAAATCAAATGCTTTCTCCCCAGAAATGGGTGAAAAAAGTTTTAACAGGGTGACCTACCTCTTCACAGGCCCCTGGGTTCCAGGACAAGCCAGTTCTCAGTGACCATCTGTACGTCCTGGCTGCTCAGAGGCTCCCGCAGCCTGACCTTCACCTCCAGCTTCCCCCCAGTAGGCTTTCTTCCATCCAGAACCTGTGGCAGCCACAGACAGACAGACAGACCATAATTGAGAAGATAGGCTGGGGCAGGTAGGTTCTCAGAGCAGCTAAAGTATGCAGGGTGTCTGTCAGTTTCAGTATAGCCTGGCCTTCTTCCTGCAATATGGGAAGTGGTGGACTGCTTACTCTTTTTTTTTTTTTTTTAAAGATTTATTTATTTTATTGTGGGTACACTTTAGCTGTCTTCAGACACACCAGAAGAGGGTATCAGATCCCATTACAGATGGTTGTGAGCCACCATGTGGTTGCTGGGAGTTGAACTCAGGACCTCTGGAAGAGCAGTCAGTGCTCTTAACCACTGAGCCATCTCTCCAGCCACCGACTGCTTACTCTTAATATCTTATAAATAACCTACAAGTGTCAGTGCTCTGGCTAGAGATGAGAAACCCATTACTCTATCCTGGTTTTCCCTTGATCTTTTAACTCCTAGAGTTAACACTGGCCTCAAGGGGCACCCTGACCACACTCATATGTGGTCCACAGAGAAGTGGATGGGTAGCAATCACAAGTGGAATCCAGGCCATGGCCTCTTCTAGAGCAGATAAGGAACTAGATGAACACAGCGTACTACAAAGCTTAAGACTTTACCCTCCCTCAAGACAACTCAGAATAGGCCTCACTTTAGGACAACTCCAGAGGGAGAGGCAAGCTCTAGCTTCCAGAAGTATTGTACAGGTCTGTCTGGACCTGGCTCTGCCAAGGACAAATGATATGAATTAACAAGTTCCTTCTCCGAGCCGGGCGGTGGTGGCGCATGCCTTTAATCCCAGCACTTGGGAGGCAGAGGCAGAGTTCAAGGCCAGCCTGGTCTACAGAGTGAGTTCCAGGACAGCCCGGACTATAAAGAAAAACCCTGTCTCGGAAAAAAAACAAAACAAAACAAAAAAAAAAACAAACAAAAAAAACAAGTTCCTTCTCCTCTGGCTTGTTTGCCATTTGTTAGAAGCAGGTTCTTAAAGCTCCTCACCTTATATAACCTTGTGAGGCTATGGAAGCAATTTGCATATGCCACTGATCTAGAAATACTATCTCCATTTCCTGTTGGGAGCTTGACCCAAGCACAACACAGCCCTAGAACAGAAATCTATACCATGCTTGGCGTTGGTGAAAATCCTCAAAGTCTTCTCCCAACTTCAACTTCTACTTCCCACCTGGCTGACTTTGAAAGCTGCTCAAACTTTCTTTACTCCTATCTATGACACGGGGATACCACCATCCTCAAAGCACCCTAACAGATAATTTTAAAATGTGCACAGAACCCTCAATAGAGTTCCAAGAATGTTACTTCATCTTGGGCCCTACCTCCATGATCTCTCTGATCTCACACTCTTTCTCCAGCCTTTCCAATTTCAGGTGTGCTGTGCCAACCAGCTTGTCACTTCTAAAAAAGGATCTGGGAAGGCAATCAGAGGATTAGACTGGGCAGAGAGGGCAGGAATGAGCTGGCTGAATTCAATGCAAGCAAACAGCAGTATGGAGAACAACAGATCTGCCATCTCTTCCCTCCAGCCTCGCCAGTGGGAAGCCTTACCCTTTGTGGAAGATCTCAAATTTGATTCCTTTGCTCTGGATCACCCTCCTAAAGCCTCGGTGATTTCGATTGATGTTTAGTTTGAAAACTTGTTCAAATTCTGCAAGGAGGAGAGCAGGCAAGGAAAGGGTTAGAATTCTTGGGGAAGTGGAAATGGAGGCCCAGGGCAGGCTTCCTCTGAGAGTTCACTGCCTTCAATTCAGGCTGTCACCACCAAAGGGAGAAGAGCATGGAGGTTCTGGCCTTGTAAAGAGTTTGGTGCCCTGAGACACAGATTATATATTGGAAAGGACTTGGAATCTGGAGTGTGAATTCCTGGATTTAAATACATGCCCTGCCCCCGGGCCCTAACACACACATTAAAGATAGGGTCTTACTACGTAGCCCTGGCTGGCCTAGAACTCATATATTGACCACACTGGCATTAAGCTTGCTGTGATCTTCTTTCTTATGCCTTTAAAATGGTAGGATTATAACACACCCAGCCTGCAAGTCCATTTTTAACACTTCTTTGCTGTGAACCCCCTGACAAATCCCTTTACTCAGCTACCCTCAAACCTCAGGATTTGTATTGCTTTTTCTTATAGTTTTCTTTCTTTTTTTTTTTTTCAAGTGTGGTGGCACACTTTTAATCCTAGCACTCAAGGAACAGAGATATATGGATGAGTTTCATGCCAGACAGAGTTAAAAGCTACATACTGAGATCCTGTTTCAAAAAACTGTAGAAAGATCTTTATTATTTTGAATTGTGTATATGTATGCACACGTGTGTGCAGGTGCCCATGAAAGCCAGAGGGATGGTTCCCCCATCTGGAGCTAGAGTTACAGGTGGGTGTGCACCCCTGATGTAGGTGCCAGGAACCAGAAGCAGATCCTCTGCAAAGCAGTATGGTGTTAACCACTGAGTCCTCCAAACCCTAGAGCCCAGTTTTCACAACTATGTAAGACAGCTATTAATAACCTGCCTTTATTTTTCAGTTGAGTGAACCAAATAAGACAATAGAATTTAAACCCTAGAAATAGGGTTGTCCACACGGGAAGTGAGAGAAGAAATGGCTTTATATTCCACTTACCTGGAAAGTTGGTATTTTTTACCACAGCTGTTTTGCTTTTTTGAGCCTGGTCCTATAACAGAGAGATGAGAAGTTGAGATAGCTCAAAAAAACATGTTTAGGCATACACTTTGGCTGAGTCAGGAAAGCAACCCAAGCAGGAAATGAGCCAGAATGTCTTCAACCCCTCCCTGTGGCAATGCCTATCAAAGATGGAGACAAATTAAGCAATCCTGTGGTTCAGAGAATCCCAGCCCCATCAGCACCTCACCGAGTTAGGGTAGTGAAACTCAAACCGCACAAAAGCGTCCAAGTCATCTGGAGTCACTCCTATAAGGAAAAAAGGGAGTCAGGTTAGAAAGCACAGCCAGAGGTTGTTGCCCAGGCAGCAGGTAGAGTACACGGGCAAGGACGTCCTTCAGTAAGGTGGCCATGGGTCACCTGGTGGGGCTGGGAGGTTCATTCCCCGGACGATGATCAGATGCATTTCTGTGCTGTTGAGTTCTGAGAAGATCCTACAGACAGAATGAAGAAGGTATAGAAGACAAGACAGTAGCAGAACCTGGGTGAGCACAGCTGCAGGGCAGAGCCGTGCTGGCTGTTCTTGGTCTCTGACTCTGTAACCCCAAGCTCCTCTCTGAAGGCAGCACATCCACCTCCCCCACTCCAATTCCCATGACACTGGAGTGTCTCCCTAAAGACTGAAGAGTCTCCTGGCTCTGCGCCAAAATTTTTGCTCTCCCTAACCCTGCAGAGAGCCAGTTTCCCTTAGGCATTGGCACCTCACAGTCTGGAATGTCTTCAACTCAAAGTGATGACTGGGAGGGTCAAGGCCCTGGGCTTGGGCTAGCTGCAGGATCTCAAGCTGTTTCTTTCGGTCATCAGCAAGCTTCTCAAACCTGTCAAAGATGAATAACCAAGTCAGCAAAGTAGGATTTGGTATCTGATCCCTACCCAACAAGCCTCGCACAGTCCTGCACTTACCGAGTAGTCTCAGCCACATTACCCTGGTGCATGAACTGCTTGGAGAATAGCAGGCACTTCTAGAAACAGAAGCCCAGAGTGACTGCACAGCCAGAGCAGAGCTTGCCAAGGACAGCATTCAAAGCCCGACCTCAAAAAGCTTCAAACAGTCCTCTTTAGCCTCACCTCTCCTCTTATAAAACATTCCTGGGCACTCTTCCTAAAGCTCAACACACTTTCCTGCTTATGTGTGTTTTTCAGTCTGAGACAGGGTCTCCGCTGCATGGCCCAGGCAGAGCTGGAACTCTCCAAGTGCTGCTGGTCACTGCAGGTGTGTCTCACCCTCCATGCCCGGTTCTACCTACACTTTTCTGCTTGTTTTGAGAATAGCATTTCCCAAAAGTTCATTTAGCAAACTCTTTCCATAAAAGCAGTTCTAGAACAGCATGGAACAGAGCAAGACCCCGTTTCAAAGATCAATCACCACTGCCAAAGAAAACAAATCCAAGCATAGACCTTAGAACACTGTCTTCTCAGAAAGACAGCACATCAGATCAGTTCCCTCACACAAAATTCATTCCCTATCACTCTGTTTGAATTTCATAACCGCATAAAAAAGGGGGCTGGAGAGATGGCTCCTCGGTTAAAAGCACTTGTTGCTCTTGCAGAGGACCTGCATTTGGTTCCTACCATCTGTAACTCCAATTTCTTGTTCTGACCTTCATGGGCACAAGGCACACACAGGCAAAACAAACATGTAAAAAAAAAACCTGAAGTAAAATTAAAAGGGATAGCTCCATTTGGTAAATGAGGAAAAGCTTGTCCAGGGTCATCCATTACACCAGTGAGAAGGGTTCGATCGACTTGGCCCAGGACACCGAGAAGGCACAGATACATAGGCTACTGACCTCATGCTGCTCCAGGAGCATCTTCTGTAGCTGGGCATACACCTCCTCGGCCTTCTGGGAGAGTCGCAGATCTTCATGGTGAATGAGAATGAAGTCACCCTCTTCATCTGTCAAGGGTGAAGGCACCTGCCCAGATCATAAGGCCCCTCGGGCCCCAAGAGTCAGATTACACCTTTGCTGAGCCCAACAAACACGAGAATCCATGCTAGACCTTTCTTTCAACTGCCATTTGCCTCCAGTGACACTCACCTCCAGTGACACTCACTGCCGTCCATTCTATCCCCCTGGCACTGCTTCTACTAGACTGGCCCTGCTGTGTTAGCTCTGACCATCGCTACCACATTCCTTTCTCCTTCTATCTCCCTAAAGGTCTGTCTCAGCTACAAGAGGGAAACAAGCAAAAGGCTCCTTCCCTGCTGTCACCTTTCTATGCAAGTCCTACCTCCACCCAGAAGCCACTCCAGTTCATCCTCATCAACCAGCCCCCCCCTCTGTGCTCCAGGCAACCTCCTGCTTAACTAGGTAGAACTCACCTTGGAGAGGTCAATGGGTTGACCAGCTCGGGCCTGGATGATCTGAGCTTCGAGACTTTTAGCTACTCGTAAATGGGATTTGGCCTGCTCCAGATCCTGTCTGCGCTTGGCTTGCAGAGCAGCTCGCTGGTACTGCAGTTTCCGAGCCTCCAGCAGTGTCACCTGCTCCCGAGCTAGAAGAAGAGGGCCAATGGTTGGGGACATGCCTATCTCACTGGACTACCACTCCTCTGTCTTATTTGTCCCCAAATTACCAGATGGGCTCAGTGACTCCTTAGAACTTGAGGCCTTGGGCTCAGTCAGAAGATGGGATGAAGGGGCCAGAGGCTGGGCTGGCTTCTTGGCCAATGGGGCCTGTGCTGGGGTGTCACTCTGCAGGTGGCACCCAAATAGTTATCATTCCCCATGTCTACACTTGGGCTATCTCCTTCATGCTGCACCCCTTCACTGTGTGACCTTAGTGGAGCAGATTTACCTCCAGAGCCCTACAACCCAAAGACAGACCATCAAAAGCTTCATAGCCTAACTTCCTAGTAGGAAACATCTCAGTCATAAAGAAAGTTTGAGTTTTGGGGGTCAGAAATACCCAGGTCTGAATTCTAGTTCTGCCTCTAGAAAAAATTTTTTCTCTAAAATGGAGGAAAGGATCTCTATTTTATGAGGTTAACATACAATAGGGTCTGGGTTTACTCCTTCTCTACTGTCCCCACCCCGCCCCCACACCCCTACAACCAAGCCCTGACATCGTGGGCCCACAGTCAGACCTCCTCCTCGTCATCTACCAGGGCTGTGTCTTCTGAGGCCAGTTTTTGGGCAGTTGCCAAAGTTTCTGCCACTGAGTCCTCCTCAGTACCTTTGCTGGGCTCCAGGCCAGGGATGGGAGGAAATCCTGAGGAGAGAGGATGGAGAGCGGGCAAGGTGACAGCGTTAAGGACACGGGAGCCTGCTGTGGGACTGGCCTGGCTCTGGCATGGGTAACTCTCACAAGGTGGAGGCACACACATGAGGAACTCCTTTTTCCATTATGCTCAGAAACCTCATAAAGTTGACAGCCCAAGCATCACCCACCTGGAGGAACAGGTAACTCAGCAAAGTCAACTTTCCGTCCTGCCTGATGAGCTCGAACAGCATCTTGGTATTGCTACATGGGAAGGAAGGGATTTCTAACAGACTGCAGTCTGCAGGCTCTGTGCCCTCATTGCAGAGAGGCAGAGAGAGGGTATAAGGGAGGACTGCAGCCCTAGAAGAAGAGGAGTCCCAAAGCAGCAAGAACTCCATAAACAGACAAGGACTTAGAGACCTGGGCTGGTAGGGAAAGAGACTGGCAGGGCGAAGCACGGATAAGCTAACACAGGATAGGGGCTACACAGCAATGGGCTTACCTTGGCAATGCGGTCGTGCATCCTGGCCTTGCGCTCATCCCCATTGGCCCGGGCCTGGATGCCTGCCTCACGGTACCTGTTCAGCCTTTGCTGTAAAGCATCCAGCACTGTTTTTGGCTCTGCAGGGGCCACTATGAAGGTGATAAACAGAGACTATCAGCTCATCCTGCCCCTTCCCAGGCCCCAACTCCACTCTCCCATTGTGAAGTCCTACCTGGGGTAGCTGGGAGGTCAGAGGCCATCACTGGCTGCATTTGCTCCACTGCTGGGGACAGGACTTGGGTTGCTGTGGAGGTCTTAGAAGCCTGGGGCAGGGCCTTCAGATCTGGGAATCCAAATAGCAGGGTAGGCAGAGTGCCTGGCCAACTCCATACCTCACAACACTCCCTAAGCCCAGCCTAGGTACATAGCCCCATTATTTGACTGACCCTCGGGTGCTGGGGGCATGCCACTCAGATCCACAGGCTGTCCCTTCTCCAGGGCCTCTAGGACAGTACCAAATCTCTGAAGAAGAAGAAAAGTTATAGGCATAAGTCAAGGAGCTCCAAGAGTGTGGCCTGAAACAACTCCATGGGTCCACTCTCACCCAGGTGCTGCCTGGCTCCCTCTCTGAGCCTTCGCTTCCCCATCTACTAAATGAACACAGGAGGCCATACCTTCCCAATCCTCATGAGCTCCCGAGCACGATCCAGATCTCCAGCCCGCTTGGCATTGAGAGCAGCTGCTTTGTACTCTCTCTGTCGGGCTAACAGCAGGGCTTGAGGGTCTGGGTCTGAATCAGGCAAGGGATCAACGGCAGGGAGGCTGGACTCAGGTTGGGAAAGGTTGCCTACATAAAACAAAGGTCCCCAGAGAACTTAGCTAGACATCAAAAGAGGAAGGTTGAGGGGCCCCAGTCTTACTGGTCTAGGAATTCTTGGAGCAATGACAGGCAGGCAGGTGGGGTAGGCAGGCTATGGGAACTAGAAATAGCATGCCTTCAGATACCTGGCTCCATGGCAAGGGGAACTGGAGAGTCTATCTCAGAGTTCTTGTCAGCTCTTTCCTGCTGGGCTGGGGGCCTTTTGCCCAAGGCCACTGGAGGTGGGATCTCATCTTCACAGATCTTCCCACCTTTCCTCACAGTGGCAAGCTGGGACTCCAGAGTCTAAGGGAAGGAATTAAGACTTGTTTTTTTTTTTGTTTTTTTTTTGTTGTTGTTGTTGTTTTCGAGACAGGGTTTCTCTGTGTAGCCCTGGCTGTCCTGGAACTCACTCTGTAGACCAGGCTGGCCTCGAACTCAGAAATCCACCTGCCTCTGCCTCCCAAGTGCTGGGATTAAAGGTGAGCGCCACCACCGCCCGGCTAGGAATTAAGACTTGTAACCCAGGAAGTTGCCTGGGCCTGGCTGAAAGACAGGCCAGTGATGACAGTGTTTATCATGCCACTGTGGCCTTCCCTTTACTCTCACCGGACCCACAGTCTTACTCACCTTCAGGCCTCGCTCACAGCGCCGGGCTTTGGCAGATTCCCCAGCTTCCTTGGCACTGGCTGCAGCCTCCCGGTAGTTATGGATCCGCTCCTCCAGCAAAGCCTGCAGCCCCCGAGGCCCTCCAGCCTGCAGATACTTCAGCTCAGGGCTGGGCCACTCCACAGCCAGCTAAGCCCTTGCCATTCTCTCTCTGTGAGGAAGCTACCCCAGAAGATGGATCTCTGGGACTCCAGGAGAAAGAAGTGCCTAAGGCCCCTGAGTATGAGGCAAAGACCCACAAGAGAGGCCAGACATTATGTCAGGCAAACAGAGGCCCCCAAAATCAGCAGAGGCCAGGAAAGGGTTCCAGGAGTGGCCTGGAACAGGAAGGCCTTTGAAGTCAGTCATGGAGTCTCTCATGCTCGCTTTCTATGTGGGGAGCTGCTAGTTATTTGGCAACCTTGCTATATAAGCCATGCTCCATGCATACTGGACATGTACATACAGGAGAATAAAGGCACAGCAGGGTCCTCCTGCAACACCTACCTGAGCCACTGCAGGTAACGCCTGTTGGAAGGCTGCCTGTACTACAGGTTGTTCAGTGTTGTCCCATGTCTTCTCCTCAGACAGGTCTGGGCTTGCTGCCTCACTGCCATCTAGCAGCCCAGTTTCTTTATCCAGGACCTCCTGTAGCTCTGTCTGGGGAAACAGTCCAAGAATTTTGGGTGCATGGCCACATCATGACTGGAGAAAAGTTAAGGCCTCTCTTCCCATGTGATATTTCTCAAGGCCAAATCCTCTTTACTAACAGTTTTTTAATCTAACCAAGGAAGACCTTGAAAAAAATAAATGAAAACTTCAAATTTGAGAATTCCAAACTGCAGAGCTCAGATCCAAAGTCAGAGGAGACAAATTTCTCACTGTAAAGTCATGAGGACAAGCCTGGGAAGGGATGAGGAGGCACAAACCCCAGTCTCCCTCAATCGCTCTCTCCTTGGACACCAGTCTGGCAAACATACCAGAAGGTCTTCATCCTCCTCCAGCCCGTCCTCCTCCTCCTCCTCCTCCTCGTCCACATCTCGCATACAGTCTGCTGCCAACTTCTCAATGCGGGCCATGGGCAGGGGAGCTGAAGAAGGAGTCACAGACGCTCATGGCGACTCAAGTAGGTGCCGGATAATAAGCAGACGATCTTTAATGCACTACAGTGGTTACTACACCAGGGGAAATCCCCCTTCCCTTCCACAGCAAAGTCCAACTCAGAAAGGCACCCTCCTTTCATGACCCAGCTCCAAAGACCCTTGCTATGGATACCGCCTTCCTGGGTTCTCCAACAAGTAACAGGTTGCTCCTTTTCCCACATTTCTGTTTGTAGGTAAATGTACCTATACACTGTACCACACCCCACTAGGCCTTGCGCATTTGTAAATGGTTCTACCATCTACTCAAGTGTCACAGTTCTGTAAGATGAGTAACATTATCCACATTTTCTATACTGAATAAACCAAGACACAGCAACATCCATTTTCCCAAATTCACAATCTCAGTTAGTGGCAATATCGAAACCTGGGCGTATCTAACCCCAAAGCAGGTCTAGAGTAGTGAGCCCGTTCCCAGTCATGTCTGACTCGGGGCACACAGGCTGCCTTAGTCTAAGGGTTCCTGCTAAGAGGAATATTTAGACCTCTCATTCTGATACCTAAGATTCCGTCCTCTTCCAGGCTATGAAGGTTACTGTGCACACAATTCTGTCAGTGCTATTTTGAGCCCCTACTGTATAATACGAGGCTCTACCTATGTAGGACTAAGGCTAGTAGTGATCTGAGTCAGGCTAACAATTGGATTTGTCCTCTAAGAGGAAAACGCTCCAAACACAGGGACATGGCTGAATTCTTTGTGGTTGAGCTCTAGAAGGAACATACTTATCAAAGAACTAGGGGAACTGGCCAACTCCAACAGGCTGCCAGGTAAGGACCCTCTCCCTCACGGGCCTGCATCACCCCATCGGTAGTGAAAGAAAACTCACCCTGCCCCTTGGGTGCCGGCTTCCTGCTTGTGCTCCCTGTTTCCCCAGTGAGCGCCAATAACTCAGCCTCCAGGTCTCCATCATCTTCAGTCTCATCCACCCCCAGGAGCATCTCCTCAGGGTTGAACTCCACAAAAAGCCCCAGCTAAGAACAGAGAACAGGGTTTTGTTTTTTTAAAGATTTTATGTGTAAGAATGTTTGACCTGCATGTATGGATTGTACCATATGTATCTGGTGCCCTCAGAGATCGGAAGGCAGATCCCTGAAATTGAAGTTATGGATTGTTTTTAAGCTTCTATATGGGTACTGGGAACCACACCCAAGTGCTCTTTAAAAAAAAGCCATCTCTCCAGCACCCAGAGAAGGAGTCTCCAGAATCATATCTTAGGGGCTGGAGAGATGGTTCAGCAGTAGAGTGCCTCCTCCTCTTCCAGAGGCCCTGAGTTCAGTTCCTAGTACCACAGCAGGTGTTTCATAAATACCTGTATCTCCAGCTCCAGGGGATCTGACCCATATGTGGCATACATTCACACAGACATACAACCAAGTAATTATTTTTTAAATTACATAACAAACCAGATCTTGAGAGGTTAAGACAGGAGAACCATCCCATGTTTAAGGCCAATCTGGTCTACATAGTGAGTTCCAGGCTAGAAACTGAGACCATCTCACTAAATAATCACAAAAAAAAAAAAAAAAAAGAGAGAGAAAAAAAATCACACAATGAAGCTTGGTATTGTGGCACATGCTTCCAATTCCAGCACATGAGCAGTGAAGGCAGGATAATCAGGGGTTCAAAGACAACCTAGGCTTTGTATGAGATCCTGTCTTTAAAAAAAAAATCACCTGGCTGGGCAGTGGTGGCATACGCCTTTAATCCCAGCACTTGAGAGGCAGAGGCAGGCGGATTTCTGAGTTCGAGGCCAGCCTGGTCTACAGAGTAAGTTCCAGGACAGCCAGGGAAGAAACCCTGTCTCGGAAAAACAAACAAACAAACAAACAAACAAAAAAATCACCTAATGAAATTATGTGTAGTAGCACATGCTTATGATCCTAGCCCAGGGAGACAAGGCAGGAAGACTCCAGGTTCAAGACCTACCTGGGATACAGAAAAGTTCAAAGTCAGCCTAGGCAACTTGGGAGAACTTGTGCCAAAATAAAAAGCAAAACAGAGTTGGGACTATAGCTCAGTGGAAGAGCAGTCGTCCGGCACACTAAAGCCCTGAGCTCTATCCCCACTCACCCTGAGGCCCAATGTGCAGAGAAGGAAACATCTAAAAGTATGGAGAACTTATTTAAAGAAGCCAGTAAGACTACAGTGCCACTATTATAACTAACAAAACCAACAACAGCTGCTGGGCTCGACGCTTGGCATTATTCATGATTGTATTAGTTAATTCTTTGTCGGGGAGGAAGCGGGTAATTTGAAAAGGGCTTTCATTGTGTAAACCTAAGCTGGCCTTGAACTCAGAATCTTCCGGCTTCTGCCTCCTCAGTACTGGGATCATGGACCACATTTAATTTTTTAAAATGATAATATTTTTATTTTATGTGCACAATGCCCCCTGGAACTGTATTTATAAATGGTTGTAAGCCACCACATGGGTCCTCTGGAAGAGCAGCCAGTGCTCTTAACCCCTAAACCATCTCTCCAGCTCCCCAGATTTAATTGTAGCAAACGCACAGCATGAAACCTGCCGTCCTCCCTATGTTCAAGCGTGAGGCTAAGGAACGTCATACATCCCCATCGTTTGCAGCCGTCACTCCAGTCCACTCACAGAATCCACGTGCAAACCTGACCCTAGGCCTCAGAAACACTCGCCCGTCTTCCCCTCTTTCCACTATTTTCTATGTCCATCATTTTGATTACTCATAGTCAACCCAACCTGAACTGATTTTTTTATTTGTTCTGGTTTGAAGTTTTTTTTTTTTTAAATATGTATGACAGTTTTGCCCATATGTATGTATGTACATACACCATGTGGCTGCAATGCCCATGGAGGCCAAAAGGGGGTGCTGGATCCCCTAGAGCTGGAGTTACATGTGGTTAAAGCCACTGAGTGACAGCTAGCACTCTTAACCACTGAGCCATGTCTTTAGCTACAAATGTCTAGAGATCCGTACTCCACGTGAACCCAGGGGTGGAGGAGGCCATGTCCATACCTGCTTGGCAGTTTCGGCACCCTGGCCACTGGTTTTAGGGCCCTTCCGAGGTCTTGGCCCTGGCATCTCGGCAGGCTAGATACCTATCAGGTGTAAAGTTGAAGAGACTCAGTCTGGAGCAGATGATGACATATGGCCCCCAACAATGGCATGCGTGGTTAGGGAGCTTATTCCCATGGGCTAACATACCACTTTATAATTAAAGCAGAGGCAAGGAAAGGCAGTGGGTGGAAGGCAGGGGACCACTGTCAACAGAGGGATATGGGGTGTGTGTACTCAATTTCTGAACCGACTGTTGACCACAGAAGGCAAATTTATGGCAGCAATTCGAGGTACAATGGTTTGGAAAGGCTTTTAAAAGCAGTGCTGTCTGTTCCGCAAATAATGTGTCTATTTACACTTAAATTAAAAACTCAGTTCCTCAGTCATACCAAATTTTAAGTGCTCAGTAGCTCAACCTAAGGGGTACTACTACTAGGTAGCACAGACACATTGCTTTTATCATCAGTTTCCTTGGACACTCTGCACCTGATTCAGCATTCTGATCATCTGAACGATGTCACAAGTGGTCAACGGGTACTGTAGCACAACCTGTTCAGCACTGGAAGAAACTCATTTGCTTCTACCTCAAGGAAACAGATCCATGGGCAGACAACCACCACAGAGCAGCTGCAGGGACCATGGGTTCGAGAGGTGGCCCCTAAGAAACGATGATGCCTGTGCTGAGTCATTAAGTTTGGACACTGGGGAAGAGTAGAATTCCAAGCAAATCAAACGAACTGATACCAGTTCTAAGGTAAAAAATGACTTGGCTTACACAAGGAAAAGAAACGCCCGGCATCACTGAGGCATAAACCAAGCCGTATGGCTAGAAATGAAGGCACGAACCAGGGGAGAAAGAGAAACACCTTTAAGGCTTTCAAGGTACTTGGGCGTTACCCTGACAGCAGTGGGAAGCATCATGACTGATACAGAAGGTGCACCGGGAAGTGGGAGATCATATAGGGCGGGAAACCTCGGTCCTGAGCATTTTGCAAATCTATGAAGGAGCGTGAGGTGGCATGGGGATTAAGAAACAGACAGGATCCCGCGTCTGGAGCTGGAATCAACAGGGCTGCGAGGTTCCCTGGTGTGAGCGCACAGGCATAAGCCACTCCAAGTGTCAGATTCCGACTGCAGTCAACAGCGAAGCGTCAGCCGGGGTGGGGTTCGGGAGTGAAGGAGCTCGGGAGAATTGAGGTGCCGCAGGCCGGTCGGGGCTCAGGAGAGGCACGTCCGCGTCGAGGGGCGACGCCGGGCTCCCCACACCCGCGCGTCCTCCCGCTGCCGGGCTCGGCCCGACCGGGCCCGACCCAAGCCGCCTCTATCTCCCCGGCCGCCCCCAGACTCCACACGTCGGGAAGCGGGCACGTGGCATACCTCGCGGCAGATCCGAACCAAAACCGGGCCTTCTCGAGCCCGGAACCGCCTAGCTTCCCGCGGCCCCCGGGCGGCGGCGGAGACAGCCACAGGAAGCACCCGCCAGGAGGCGGTGGCTCGCGCCCGGCACGTGACACCACAGCCAGCGGCTCGCGGTGCGCATGTGCGCGGGGAAGCGGGCGGGGCGCGCCCATAGGTGACGCCGAGGGTGGGGCAGTCCGTGCGCAGGCCTCTTCGAGCAGGTACCGCGATACTGGCTGACTGCAGCGTTGTGAGGTTTGGTGTCCTTCACACATGTAAGCGCGCCCCATTTCTGGCGTGATTTCTCCGAGAGGCCTCCTTCCTGGTTCTCTTCGCGCACCCCGATGCTTCCGCGTCCTAATGGGTACCACTAGGCAGCCGGGCCGCGTCCCTGTGTTGAGATCCTAGAGGATGCGGCTTCCTCTGCCCACCTTGTGCATCCTAGGCACGGAAAACCAGTTCTCCGGGTAACAGAGCTCCTTTCTAGTCAGAGGGCAGGACAAAACTGCAGATTAGAGGAACCAAAGCCCTCAGTAAACTGAGGCAGGAGCATCGCTGCAAGCTGAAGGGCCGCCTCTACCTCAAGGAGCCCTGTTATTTCGGGATTGATGGAACTGACCTGCAGATGGACCAAACCCCAAGCATGATTTCCACACCGCATGCGCAGTTTCACTTCATGGAGAGACTGCAGGCTTCAGTTCTGATTGAAAGAACAGTTCTAACCCGGCAGTGGTGGCCCACGCCTTTAATCCCAGCATTTGGGAAGCAGAGGCAGGTGGATTTCTGAGTTCGAGGCCAGCCTGGTCTACAGAGTGAGTTCCAGGACAGCCAAGGCTACAAAGAGAAACCTTGTCTCGAAAAACCAAACCAAACAAACAAAACCGTTCTGCAACCCGCGTGGTGGTACGTGCATTGAATCTCAGCGCTCCAGAGGCAGAGGCAGTCCGATCCTTTAGTTTGCCACTAGCCTAGTCTAGTTCTAGGCCATCTGGAGCTACATAGTGAGAACTCTGTCTCATAAACAAACTGCAACTCCCAGAAGTTGTCCTCTGACCCTACACAGATGCAGGCCTGCCTGCACTCCGACATTCAAATTAACACACACAAATAATACACAGTAGACATTGTTTCCTATAGGTCTGGGGGTTTTCATTTGTCTTTTTTTTTTTTTTTTTTTTTTGAGACAGCTTCTCTGTAACAGTCTTGGCTGTAGAACGTGCTTTGTAGACCAGGCTGGCCTTAAACTCAGAGAGACCCACTTGCCTCTACTTCTTGAGTGCTGGATTAAAGGAGCTCACCACCACCACCTGGCTGGTTTGTTTGAAACAGTCTCAAGTACTCAGTCCCGACCTTGAGTTTGATTTCTAGTGAAGGATGATGTGGAACTTGTGATCCTCCTGTCTGCCTCTCCCAGTGCAGGCATTATACTTAATGGGACTTTTGAGGTGCTAGCGATGGGACCCAGAAATCTGTTCCTGCTAGAAGCACCCTACTAGTTCAGCTCCCTCCCAGTCCTAGTAATACCCGTGGATGTAAATTAACACAGGATGTGGCCTTAACTCCATCTCCCATTCTGCAACAGTTGCTTTTCAGTGAGTATCCTCTTACAGGCCGCTCACTCTGGCCTACCACAGGCTCCCAGACCTTCTGTTTTCCACATAACAGACTCAAATGAGACATAGAATATAATGTGAAGACAGTGTATAATATTAGAGCAAGGAGGGATAAGAGTGGATAATGACCAGAGGGACCAGTGCAGAAAAAACTCACCGAATAGAAGTGGATAATGGCAAAGAATCACCTTTATGGCAATCTACATGTTAAACACTACACTGTTTTCTTAGGTCTCTAAACATCGTTGTCCTGGAGGCTATTGTCTTATGTAGATGATAGAAAAGTGGATTTGGAGTTGTATTTGTGAGCGTGTGTTGTATGTTATGTATGATGCCTAAAGGTGTACAGCACACATGCTCACTGAGGACCTCAATTTTCATCTTCAGCTTCCTATTTCTCCACCTTATTTCCTTGAGACAAGGTCTCTTAGTGAACTGGAAGCTGTTTCAGCTTAGTCTTGCCGATCAGTGAGCTCTTGGATTCCCCTGTCTTCTTCCCAATGCTGGGTTATAAACTCAGGTAATCATGCCCAACTTTTGTTTGTTGGTTTTAATGTGCTCTGTCTGCATGTACACCTGCACACCAGAAGAGAGCATCAGATCTCCCTCTTTTTAAATGTGTATTTAAAAAAATGGGTATGGGATGCACACCTTTAATCACAGTGCTTGGGAGATGGAGGCATGTGGATCTCCGAGTTCAAGGCCAGCCTGGTCTACAGAGAGAGTTCTACAATAGCCAAGGCTACACAGAATCCCTGTCTCAAGAAAAGTAACAAACAGTATTAATGTCTTGTGACTTACCCTATGTGCTGAACCATCTCTGCAGCCTCCATTTTTGTTCTCTATTGTTATGTGTGTGTGTGTTTCTCTAAGCGTTTTGTAGCATTTATGTAAGTACACCACATATATGCAGTGCCCATGGAGGCCAAGATCCCCTGAATCAGAGCCCCTGAAACTAGAATTAAAGATGGTGGTAAGCTGCCTCATGGGTGCTGGGAATTGGACCTGGATCCTCTGCAAGAGCTTTAAGTGTCTTTAACCACTGAGCCACCTCCTCAGTCCCTGTATGCCCAGCTTTTTATGTAGTTTCTGGGGGTTCAAACTCACATCCTTATGCTTACAGAGCAAGCACTCTTAATCACGGAGCCATACCCCACTTCCCAAGTTATGAGTTGTTTTTGTTGTTGTAAAAGTTTTTTGGTTTTGGAGGGTTTTTTTGTTTTTTGTTCTGAGATACTTTCATTATATAATAGAGTAAATAATTTAAAAGCTAGCATTCACATGAGACAACATGCAGTATTATCACTTTACTTATTTTATAGATCCATCCAATTTCCTGCAAATTTCCTAATTTCATTTTTCTTTACAGATGAGTAAACTCCCTTATGTATACATGTACCACATTGCATCTACTGATGGACATAAATAATCTATGATAGCATATAGTTGTTTGGGTGTATACCCAGGAGCAATATGTTGGGTCATGTGACAGTTCTATTAGAATTATTTTAGAAACTTCTGTCAATGGAGGTTCCCAGAAAAAGTTGTAGTACATTTAACATTCTAGAAAGTAGATCCAAACTCAGGCTCTTACGGTTCTGCAGTAAACATTGTCTGCAGAGCTATCTCCCCATCAAGTTTCATGATTCTTAAAAATGTTTTAAATTTTTTGATTATGTGTTTACATGTGGATCTACGTGTAAACATGCATACAGGTGCCCTCGGCGTCATGAAGATGGTGGCCGACGCCCTGGAGCTGGAGTTACAGGCAGTTGTGAGCTCCCAGGTTTAAGTGCAAGGAATTCAAATCAGGTTCTCTTCAAAAGCAGTATGTGCTCTTAACCACAGAGCCATCTCTTCAGCCTGTGTCTGCTTTTGGCAATTAAAACATCATTTATGTGTGCGTGCAGCAGTCAGTAGGATTAAAGAGTGGTGAACCACCTGGAGCTGGAGTTGTGAGCTGCCTGACTTCAGGCCTAGAAACTAAATTCAGATCATCTGAAAGAACCCCACCTTAGCCTTTACACTCATGTCTTTGATCCATTTCAACAGCTTTATTTTGTTTATCATCTTTTTCTTCTATAGAGAACGTCTTCACTCTTCCTTTTGGTTAACTGTGGACATTATATATAACACTATTCTGATGCAGGGGTGGAGAGGTGGCTCAGCTGCAGTTTTAGTTACCAGCACCCACATGGCTGCTCACACCCATTTGTCACTAGGCTGTAGATGTCCCCATGAAGGGCTAAAGAAAGGCTTACATTTAGCATTGGGAAATGTACCCAGTGCCACCTGCACGCAAGGAGCATTGTCAGTGTGATTCACCCCAAACCACACATGTTCTTTTCCATAGAATCAATTTTACTTTGTATCATTCAAAATCAAATACATCATAGCATATAGTGAAGTCTTCCTCTAACCTCTGGCCAACCACCAGGTATTTCCCAGAGGCAACCAGCGTACCTAATTTCATACAAATTCTCCCAGAACTATTTTACCTAGATACAAGTATACTGTATACACATCTTTATATACATAGTATGTTACCATAAACTTCTCCAACACTTTGAAAAAAGCAAAATAAATAATGGAAAATAACAAATCTACAACAATTCCCATCCTGTATATTTTGCTATAATTCCATGTTCTGAAGAAAATTAAAGCTCTTTGAGAAAAAGCAGAAGTTTGTGAAGTCCTTCACTCTTCTTTGAGAGCATACAGTACATCATTCTGGCTAACATTGAGTCTCACTCGAAGGAGGAGGTCATTCCTGCTGGGCTCCACCAGAAGAATGCGGCAAGAACCCAGACGAGAGCACACAGCCATGGTCTCTGACATGGTTGGGTACGGCAGTCCCTCCATTCTGCACAGAGCCACATGCTGACTGTATATCTAGATAACAGAAGTAAAGCAAAGGTTAGGAAGAACAATAACCCCAGGCTTTCATCTGATCATCTTTTGCAGAACTGAGCACCTGGGTATGATGGGTGATACTTATCTTTAGCCCACGCACTGGGAGGCAGAGGCCTGCAGATCTGTGAGTCTCAGGACAACCAAGGCTACACAGTGAGACCCAGTGGCAAAACAGTCACTCATGCCTTGGATACTGAATTCTTCATCAGTAAATGCCCTTGCGCAAATGCAAGTGAGTGGAAAACTAGCTGTAGAACAGGACACAGCTCACCTGAACCTTGCCATTCTATTATTTATGTGACAATAGGCAGGTTTTCTTTTCTAGTCTTTTAAAGGTATCGTCTTGAAGTCTGTAGCTCATGCTGGGCTGTAACTCACTACGTAGACCAATCTGGCCTCAAAACTCTTGGCAATCCCCTTGCCTCATCTTCCAAGTGCTGAGATTACAGGTGTAAACCACCACATGCCTACTTAACATCTTAAAGCCTCAGTGTTACAAGATGTACTGCACCTACCTTATCGGTTGATCAGTATGAAATGATTATTAACTGCCGGAGAAATAGTCATGTATTTCACAGGCATTAA